CTAAAGTGACGATATTGAATATTTAACCAAAACAAAAGGACATAAAGTCTTTAAAAACTCAATACAGTCCTCATCAGTTCACCTACAGTGACGATGTTGAATATTTAACCAAAACAAAAGGACATAAAGTCTTTAAAAACTCAATACAGTCCTCATCAGTTCACCTACAGTGACGATATCTAATAAGTAGTTAAAAGTTAGTAAACTAAGATTTTCCATTTAAGACACAATGGTTGTTATTTTGTATAATTCATTAGTAAGCCTAAAATGATAGATAAAAAACGTTCGTCGAAACTAGTATATGTAAAAAAAGTGAAAAACAGATTAGATAAAAAATAAAATAAAAATTCAATGTTATCCTGTTCTATGTCACCAAACAACCAAGTTGGTCTTTAAATTAAAAAGCGTTCCCGCGCTTTCTGGCCACACATTGATGCATAATTACATACATCAATATTCATTGTTGTATGATGGAACTAAGCCCGTTATTATGTTGATTCACCATGGATGAATACACGTAATAAATACGTGTAAAGTTGACTATTCCAGAGTTTTACGGATGTTGCTCAAAGATGATGAAATAATATTACTGAGCCAGGGTTTTAAACGACGAGTTATATTTTCTTGAAACTAAGCCCGGTCATTACGTCTATCTTATATACGTACGCACAGAGTCGGATAGTTCAGCGGGTAGGAGCAAGCCATTTGTATATTTACCCACTCTTAATTTTCTTGGTAATTTCATACTCCATTGCACCAAACCAACGTTGTGCGTGTATATGTATAGCTTCAAAGCCGTGACAGTGCGAATGTAACTACGAACGATAACACATCAACAAACGTGAACGTCTTCCTTTTATAGTACGCGGAGTAATTACTCCAACAGCGAAAAAGAAATGTTGTATTAACAACCGTTTACCAACAACGGACTTCTCTGCATGGTACACATTATACTGTCTTATCCACCAAGCATCGATTCAAGAATATTACTCGAACTAGCATAATAGTTCATAAAAACCGTACCAATGTTACGCATATAGACAGACGTAGGTAGATTATATGAAGCTTATGTTGTTAAGTCATGTGCGTGTTTTGTTATCCGAATCAGACAAGAAAATACCCAGTTTTCCAATGTATCATTACTATAATAATAACAAAATTGATATTAAGTCAGAATACAGAAGTAATCATTACTGTATCAAAAAGAAACTATGGTACAGTAGAAATAAAATCGATTAATTACGTTTGATTAGAGACTTTGAAAAATAATTTATTAAAACCACCTGGTGTCAAAAAAAGTAACTGTTTGTGAAACAAGTAATGCTAACGGAGTGTAACCTACTTCTACATACATTCTCCTCGCTGTATAGTTTGTTTTTTTTAGAGCAAAGCCACATTGGGCTATCTGCCGTGTGAACCGCGTGGAATCGAACCCTGGATTTTAGCGTTGTAAATTTGTAAAATTACCGCTGTCCCATCGAAGGACTTCACTCTACAGAATCATTACTTGTAGCTTCTTTAATATAACTAGCAGAAATACCCGCCCTCTGGGCAGGTATAACTGCTAATTCCTGCGAAAGGCTATTGGGCCTGCGGCCTTTTCAGGAATTGTCTGACAGTTCTACAACAATGTAATCATACTTGACATTAAACAATGTTCACCATCCATGAGAAAAAGGATTTTATTGAAATTTACTAAAAATGTGGTGATTAATGAAATACTTCGAGGCTGATGAAGTAAGTGAAGAGTTGCTCGTGATTGGTTTGAATTTCGCGCAAAGCTACACGAGAGCTATCTGCGCTACTCTCCCTAATTTAGCAGTGAAAACTAGACGGAAGACAGCTAGTCATCACCACCCACCGCTAACCCTTGGGCTACTCTTTTACCAAAGAATAGTAGGATTGACCGTCATATTATAACGCCTCCAAGGCTGAGCATGTTTGGTGGGACGGGGATTCGAACCTCGACCATCAAATTGCGAGTCGGGCGCCCTAACCACCTGGTCATACCATCTATCCTATTATATCAGGGTGTTTGTACAGAAGGTCGATCAATACAATCATTGGATTTCCAATCAATCTTTGTTAAACGAAAGTGAAACATCAAATGACGTTTATACGTTAGATAGATAACGAAATATGAGTGGCAATTAAAATAGATGTAACTACATAAAAATTCTTGTTTTTAAGTTCTTTGAGTTATCTTTGGATTTTTTTTCTCGTGTTGGATGATTAGAGATAAAAGGTCATTGTTTAAGATTGTAAATTTAGTCGTCAAAATCAGACTGCATTTTACTCACGTAGTCATACTTGTTAAAGATGACAGTGAATTTGCCTTTGTCGGGCCCTGTAACACGAATATCATTATTTAGTGACAGTCCCTATAAGGCTGAGATTTCATCATGACGTAGACTGTTGAGGATTAGAGCAAGGATAATATTAAACAATGGCCTTTTATCTCTTACCATCTAACGTGAGGAAAAAAATCAAGAGAGAACTTAAAAACAAAATTATTATAAACATTCTTGCTATAAGCCTGCTATCGCAGCTCCTGCAAGTATGAGAAGCCTCGCGACAAATAAGATAGATTGTAGATCTAGTGTGAAAAACATTTATATGTAAATTTAAAAGCATATGACATTCACTGAAAGTGGGATGTAACTTTTTAAAGTTTATTCACTTCGAAACAAAGCTGTTCTCTGTTCAAGTCGCGTGCATGCGTAGTGTAGTGTTGTCGATCCACGCCTGTCGCTGTCTTTCTACAAGCAAGCAGCATTTTAGAAATGAGGGGTGTTCCACAGCCAGTTTACGTCTAATAAGGAACTCATCTCACGTTTATTAATTAAAACGATTGTTTCTCCAACATCCTTTTGAAGAGGTTCGGATATACAAAAGTCTTGCACGCCCTCTTGACATGCGTTACAGAGTTTAAAGTATTGAAAGTATGGTACTGTATAATGACAGTAAACACCTACCATAGTACGATCGTTCGAGTACATCTGAGGTTCTAAGGTGTTGACAGTAAACACCTACCATAGTACGATCGTTCGAGTACATCTGAGGTTCTAAGGTGTTGACAGTAAACACCTAACATAGTACGATCGTTCGAGTACATCTGAGGTTCTAAGGTGTTGACAGTAAACACCTAACATAGTACGGTCGTTCGAGTACATCTGAGGTTCTAAGGTGTT